TTTCTATAAAGACAACAAATACTATTAAAACAAATCATCATAGTTACAGCACTAAAAATCAACACTAACAGCATCAAAAAACTGCAAAAATGTTAGATAACACCACAAATAATACTAATCCGTGGTATCATTATCAATATCAATTAGCCATTATTTGAGCTGTGGTGGACTTTGGGGTAAACCTCAAAGAGTGTCTTGAACAAATATCAAAGACGAACCATTAGCGCCATTAGTGAGCGAAACTGCTTGCTAACGGCACCAAACACAACGGATATGTGACTAATAAACCAACAAAAATTACCGTTGCACTTATAAATATCTGCGGAATTCTACAAAAGTAGTAGCTAGCACAACACTAGAAATGTCGAAGACACCAATAAGCCAATTGGTATGAAATTTTTCGTAATATATAAATAATAAGAAAATATTAAATGTACTTATTTCATTCAGCTCTTCTCATATTGTACTAAAATTACAACTTTTTATATGAACACATTACATACGAGTATAAGTAAAATCCCATTTCCACAAATCTTGATACGCCTCTGTTTATTTGCACACGCAATTTTCAGATTGCAGCAAAAGTTTTGCAGTATCCAATTAAAGTCTTAATTAGAGCTTTAGGCAGTTATCTCTCTGTAGTTGACACTGCTATTAAGGCTAGCAAATAAATCTGATGAAGAGATAACCTATGTTTGAAATCCTAATTAATACACAAGAGTCATTGCATGCAAGTCCCATTTAGATGCAACTTAGATATAAAATGTAAATGAAGAGAATTTCTTTTCAAAATAACATGGTTGAATAATTATAGAAACAAAATATAGACAGAAGTTAAATAAAGACACTATTTAAATAGATTAATGTGTACTTATCTCTCCATTAATAGATAAGTAGATGGAATAGAATAGATGTTTTCATTTACTCACACAATGAAAATAGATAACAAGGAATTCTAAGTGGACAGAACAGTCGAACTAGTCGATAAGGGTTTGCGATTTAGAAAAAGTCAAATTTTCCGAAAAATTAACAGGACATCAGAAAAGCAGGAAAATTGAGGTGTGTATGGAAAATGTGCGCAGGATGAGGAAAATTATTGTTAACATTTTATATGAGTGTGTATGTGAGGATGAATGAGTGTGTGAAAATGAATGCAAGAAAATTACCTGAGTTGCAAACAAAGTTAGATGTGCTGGTAGTTTACATTGAGTTACCTGAAGTTTTAATAATGGATATTGAAGAGGATCACAAAAACCTTTCAATTATGTCGTGGATATGATCGTTTTTGAATTTCTATTCTATAAATTTTATATGTGTGTTTCGTTAATCAAGTCTGAATATTTTTCTCACGGTTTCATGGAATATTTTACATAAAATTGTATCTAAAAAAATAGATCTCATAAGCATTTAAACCTGATCTTCTTTAAATATACGGGAAAGTGTTTTCATGTGAAGTCGTGAGAAATATTATTGATTATTTACGTAATTGGATAACTACAGTAGCAGGCTTCCAGTTTTATTAGTTAGCGAAGACCTCCAGGCAACCAATATTGATAGTAAAAATATCAATAGCCTCAGTGTCAGTTCAGTTCGAAGTTCAGAGCTCAAGAAATTGAAGTAAAATTTTGTTGCATATGATTTTGTCAAGCGTGAGAAATGTTCAAAATATTTCGTTATCGGGTTTTTGAACTTAAGAAACTCGATACCTACCCACTTGTTGCTTGGCAGGTATGCGGTGATTTACATAATTTTTTTGGGCGTTAATGAAATAAAATCTTTTCGGTTTTTAAACTAATATAAAAAATGCATTAAAAAATGGTTCACACATTGTCTTTATACTCTTTTTTTTAATACATTTTTTGGATTCCTCTACATGCGTGAGAAATTTTGTTTTAGATTATCGATTTTGTCAATGTTTCTAACAGGCTTCCAGCTATTTTAGTTATACAATAATCGCTATAAAACTAAAATAATTTTTTTTATCCTGTGACTGTATAAACCTTATCATATCACAGCAATGCTTATCACCTGTAGCGCTCACTGTGGGAAAATGTTTCTTGTTGAAGAGAAAAATATGTGCCGAGACCCTTTTACGCACACTTGTTGCAAAGGGAAAATAAATAACGTCTATGCCAGACGTTAAAAAAAGAATTTAATTGAATTATATTTTCATTTGTAATGCACTTGAAAAGGATTTATGTATTACATACATAACTAAATATAAATAATAAAGGCGTGAGAAACCGCTGAATAAACTAAAGCAATATTCATTAATCGATTTTATAGAGTTTGAAGTATTTACTTAGTACAGCAAATGTTGGCACTTGAAGATGAAAGAGGTTACAGGGAGTTTGTGATACGAAGGTTATAAGTATGTACGTATAAGTACGAATGTAAGTAAATACTAAGGTATTATTTTATATACAAATGGTAAATGCTTTAAAGATAAAAATCATCAATATTTTGTGACCAACTTTTTAGTTTTTATTTATACTACCATACTAATATTTATTACATAGAACTCGGCAGAACCCGAGTTCGAATCCTGGTACTTCCAGTCTCAAAAATAATTATTTACGAATAATTAAATACAAGAATTATTTCTAAGACCACTGATGAGTATTTGGCAACACTCAAAACAGCTGCATAGTCAGATAAAAATTCGATTAATTAAAATAATATAAAATGAATTTTTGTTGTTGTATTCACTACTGTGCGAAAAACCACTTTAAAAAATAATTGCCTTAATAAATAGTTAAAGTCTTGATTAATTATTTAAACATTTTTGTACCACATGTATTGAAATTTTCTACTATTTATGATGTTTTAAATAAAGTATCTTAACTTGAGCTGAAACGTTGTTTCAATATAGCTAATAAAGTTTGCATCTCAAATTGTTATTCTAATAATAAACCTAGAACTATGAATATTCAATGTTCAATTGAACACGTCTTTATTGATCATCTTTTTGTCGAATATAAAGTAGTTTTCGATAGCCCCATAATAAATCGTGTTTACGCCGCAATATAAGAGCTCGGTATACCTGCAAAGCTAACAAACTATTGCAAAATGACGTTGTGAAGAGCCGGAAACTCCGTCAAGGAAGGGTTAATCCCTCTTAAACCATTGATACCGATCGAGGCTTCAGACAAGATAATTATGTTAATCTTTTCAATTTTTTGATAATACGCAAAACAAGTGTTGATCGTAATGGCTCAATCTTTTACAAAAGTGTCCAGATCCTTGCCTACGATGACGATATTGACATCATTGGCTGCAGAAAGCAAACGTTGAATGAAAGCAAAAAGTATATATATGTCGACTATGGGCAGAAATAGTTGTCTTTTCGACACTGAGCTAGTGACTAAAGACTATACTTAGAAACTATTAACGTTTTCATTCATCCTGGCACCGCCGCGTCTAACAATAAGGATAGACTAAAGATCAGATAAAGAATTGCCAAAGTATATATAGACAATTGAGATGTGAACCTGTCTCGATAAATAAAACTTTCGCTCTATTAGTGTCTTTTACTTGTAGTAGAATGCAATCACAGAATAATGAATCAACACTGAAAGTGTTCGGAGAAAGGTTTAATGTAAAATCGTTGGTCCTCCAAAATTTGGCGACGACATTGACATCATTCACATAGTTAACACCCAGATGTTTCACTAACGTGGTCATATCGTGAGAACAGATGATCAAGTAAAGCATATTTAAAGAGCTAGGTTTAAGAAAGCGAAACTGTCACTGCCCAATATTTCATTGTGAGGATGCCATATATTTGCAAAATGATGAATATCAACAACTTCTGTTTAGCGAACTTTTCCTAATGAAATTTTTGAATTATATTTATTTAATTTTAATAAAACTTTAAAATTATATATTTATGTATTTATTTTATAAAATAAGAATAAAAAAAATATATACAGTATTATATATCCGAAATGTTTGCTAAACTATAAACAAAAAACCTGTCCTCTTACTTTTAGAATGTAGTGTATGTAGCGGAAATTATGTTAATAAAACAACTCCTTCAATTTTATGAAATATCAATAATTAATAGTAATCACTTACGCGCTTGAAAATCAAGTTAAAGTGACCTTACAAATTGAAGAGCGTACTTTTGACCTATAATTTTATTGGTGAGAAGTCTGTTTACATATGAATGTCATTAATTGTGGAAAGCTTCAAACTGTTTAGCATAATAATTAACACCATAAATGAGGAATATCTACTCTATGCTGATTTGTAACTACCATCAAGTTTTATCCAAGAGTACTTCTTCCGCTAAAACGTATTCAACTTCAGCTAAAGCATTCGCATGTCAAACTATCATAGCCCTACATACTCGCATAATCTCACTATACCATAATGAACTTCATAACTTATTCCGCCAATAAATTACAAGGATTATTTTTCATCAAGCAGTCAAATGTAGTTGGCAGTTGCTATTTGCAAAGGCACGTGCACTTCCTCCTCACATGTCGACATCAACCACCAAGCGTAGCTTGCTCATTAGCAGCAACACGTCCAAACGTGGGAAATCTACAGAAGCATAGAGAGGTCTTTTCCACTTGTTGCATGAACGGTAATAAAGCGTGAGAATTTTTATCTAAATTTGGTAGGAACTTTGCCAAGAGAAACCAGGCGCACAGCTTCGAACGCAGGCAGACAGAAGACAGAAATATGAGGTTTACTTCAGACTGTAAGGATATGCGTGTGGTGGGAAAAAGTAACGATTTTTTAACGTACAAAACGTACAATCAGATACGTACAAAATATGCAGCGTGAGAAAATCGTTAACCAAAACGATCAACGACTGTTTCTGACACTTGTTGTCGGTTAAGGGATAATTAAGTTCAGGGGCCCTTTAAAGCAGCCAGAGGCTACCCAAGGCAGCCAGCCACAAAATGTAGCCGTGAGAATTTTAAGTAAAATTGCAGAATTTCCTGCTGTGCTGGAACAGGCAACCAACAAAATAAGCAAGTGTCATAAAAATGTTGGCAAGTGCCAAAGAAAAATCTTGTTTAAGAAAATCATGGAAAAGGCAGATAGAATTAGAAACGTGGGAAAATGTGTAAGATTCTTAATCAAACATTAGACAAAATCAAAGACAAATTTCAGGATACAATAAAAATTGAAAATAAAGAACGTAGGGCGTTTCCAGAAAACGCCGTTTATTGATAGAAAAAAAATGTCTTGGTTTATTTGAATGTGACTGGCTATAAAGCGTGAGAAAGTGTTTCAGAGTTGTCGATACTTTTGGGAGATGCAACAGGACAACAGCATTTTAGTGAAGTTAACTAACGCATTTTAATATTGCAGCACAATTTTTTATAATTAAAAAAAGGTTCTTGCTTTGTAGCCATGAAAATATATTTAAATTAAAAAAAAAAATTAACCGTGAGAACATTTTGTGTCGACTTGAAAAAAATGATGTGGGTTTAGTGAAAGCATTCCTGCTTCGACATTTCAATGAATTGATCCTATTACCTATTAAGGTTTTAAGATTAAAATTATAGTTTTATGATATAGGCTCAATGTATGATAGTTTAAAAAAATGCTGGTACCCTTTTTCTTGGAAATACAATATTAATTGTGTTTGCTTGGTAGCATGTCAAAATCCTACGTGAGAATATTTTTAGAATTATGCCTATTTTGTCTTACTCCGAAACAGGTTCACAGTCTTTATAGCAAGTGATTTACTCAGTCAGTTAAGTAGCGTCAAGGATGCTCTAACGACTTGAGCTGCTCGCTGAACACAAAACCGATTAAAATGTGTTCATTTTTTTGTGGCCTTTTTAGGTAGATTTTATATTCTTAAGTTCAACTTAAGTCGGCCACATTAAAGATACACACAAAATTTTTTCATAACTTAAAAAACAGCGAACAGTGTAAAAAAGATCGTGGGAATCTGGAGGAAGCCAGAAAAAGATAAGCCGTACAAAAAGAAAACGCTAACGTGAGAATATTTTGTAAAGAAGATGAGTAAGCAACTTCAGCGTGACCAGGAGATCAGCATATGTAACAACCCAACAACGATGCGACATGTGCATAAATGGTTATGAGTGAGCCAACAATCTCAGGATTACTTCATACACATTCTTCTGACGCAAAACCCTTGTGTATAACCAAACACGAGTTTGCAGCTTTATATCTGATAAAAGAAACACAGACGGTGCTAAAGCAAACAAACCGAAAATAACATACCTATTTGCTTGATGAGCAGTTAGGCAGGTAAGGAGAAGCCAGTGCACACCGTCTGCCGGTTCGAGAATTCTTGTAGCACATCGCTAAGCGCAGGTTAAAATACTTAAGATAAAGAAGCGTATAAATAATGAAGCGTTAAAATGCAAACAGCAAGAAACGGAAGTCATTAAGGTTGGGAATATCACATTACAGGTTTTATACAGGGTGTTTAGGCGATTGATACTGTAGATAATGTTTGAAAGAAAATAACATTATAATGAAACCTTAAATAATACAAATTAAAGTTAATATTCTGATTTTATAAAATAATTATTATTCTATGTTATGATTTATATATTAGGAAAAACATCGAAATTCTTTTAAAATTAATTTTGATAGATGATTTTCATTCACATTGACTTTAGAAGTCAAATTATTTAATTCTCATTTTACTGTCTATGTAATATTTTAAAATGTTGACTTTATTTATAATTATATTGTTGTTAAACCACACTTTCCACTATACTGTTTTTGAATATAACAAACGGGAAAGAGTCTTTACTATTTGGCCAGCAATCAGTTCTGTTATAAAGGAAACCACCCGTCTGTTTACTAGTCAAACAGTACTAGTCAAACACTATGTTCTGCCCAAATCACTTACATTGACAATTACCTACTGACACTCCCCAGAATGCAACACATCAAACTACTTGATCTATCTACAACCTATCATCCTACCACATGACTTAGTATCTATCGTGGCGTTTAAACTTTCCCAATATTTTTTTGTTATATTTCAATCAATTGCATTTAGGTGCTTTCATCATTCCTCTCTATAACTGCAGTTTTTACAATGACTATTATAGAGTCTGCAAGTAACCGTGCATGCGCGATAAACCTTTCCAATAACTGTCCCAATATTTTTTATTATATTGCAATAAATTGTATTACGCTGCTTTGATCATTCCTCTCTATAACCGCAGCTTTTGCGTTAATGGCTACAGATCTTATGTTATCATTAATCTGGTTTCTCTCTTAATTATTGTCATTGTATCTAATTTAGATAAACTTAAGTTTCTAAGTTCTGAGTTTATTCACCCTTTAACCTGAATACTGGAATGAGATTCTCTACAACTTGGCCTTTTCCTTCAACAGCTAGAATCATTATCTAAAGCAGGGCTGTCCAGGCCAAATGCGATCGTGGGCCAATACATATCACTTTACAGATTGGAGAACCACCGAAGCAAATACATACATTCATAGTTGTTTTTGACAAAAATAAAAATACGGTTATAATGTTAAATTTAGTTGTATTAATTCATTAATTGAAATTTATTTAAAATAATAATAATAATGCAGTTTTATCAGTACACAAAAAGAAAATTTGCGTAATTGTGGTAGATTAAATACATGTCGCAGGTCGAATGTAACCCGGGGGCCGTGCTTCGGACAGCCCTAATCTAAAGATTTGGTTTTAATGGATTAAACTCTTTACACTGCGGTTTTTCTTGCATCAAGCAAGAATAAGGTAAGATAACGTTGGAGTGGCAGTTTTGCATGCCAAAGTCTTGTTAAGCACATTTCATGGCCGGTTGTGGTATCATGGTTAAAAGCGACTAAGAAGACCGTCAGAATAGGTTAGAGATTATAAGGATCGAAAGAGGCACGACTGCCCCGTTTAAGTAAAAAAAAAACCAACTCGATGTTGGGTATGTCTCTGATTTAGAAAAATAAATGCTCTCTTAGGTCAATTAGGAAAAGACCCCCAAAAATCTTAAGATTACTACTGGGCAAAAATGGATACTGATATAAAATAAAACAACAACAAATTACTTCACTTTCTTTTAAAAGAAATAACAAAAAACACATATAGTTCACGAATTTAATTCTAAATCATAAAGTGTTTCTTCATAAAGTGTAATATAATGTTTATATATAATATAACACCCTGTATTGTAAAACTCTCCAAATTGTAATAACACAAATTTAAATAATTCGTTTTGTCTACCGGAAGAACATGCGCCACGCCAGCAAATCCCTTAATACGCAATGTGTTATTAGGTAGAAATTGCACCTTTAGGTTTACGCCGGAAGTTGTTCAAACTGAAAATAAATGACGGCATCTGGTTTTCCTATGCATGCGTTGAGACGTTGAGATACCAAAAAAAAAAAAAAACTCATTGCATTAAATACAAAGAAGCCAATTTATGTGGGTTTGGGAAAATTGCAGCGTGTGAATTTTTAAAAAATTTTCTGATAAACTGAAACGATGCTAACAGGATAGCATCAAAGCTAGTAAAGATGAACAGAAACATTAAAAACGATTTTATGCACATGAAACCTAAATAAGAAGAAATTCTTATGTGAAACGTCATCAAATATGCAGATGCATAAAAAGTCAACCGACGAAGCTATTTCAGTAAGAAGAAAAATAGATAAAAACCTTTGCAAGCATCTACAGAAAAAAGGTATGTAAGGAGAAAGAGAAGAGTATACCAACTTTATAAATAAAATATCTAGCAAAAGTTTAAGAAATATACAATCGAACAGAGATAGAATTTTCATGTGTATACTTTAAACAGTAAGATTTTGAAATCAGAGTTCAAAGCATGAAAACATATTACACAGCTAAATTTCTTAGATAACAATAATTACATATAACCAAGGGCTTAATACTTAATCGCTCAAGAGTATTATTAGAACTTTACATTTCAGCATCACTAAGACCAGTGATTACTTCTGAACTACTGAATTGACTTGCATAATCATGTATAATACTGGTTGCTAGTACTAGTTTAACTACATAATATATTGTCATTGTCAATTGGCAGCCCTAAGATAACTGACCTCATTGATTACGGGACATGGTAACTTAAAGTATTACCTAAAAAGATAACTCTTGCTGAGGAAGATACTTGCAGACTATGTCTAGAAGAAAAGGGGACAGCGGTATATATATTGTGCCAATATCCAGCACTGGCAAGCAGGAGGAAGACTGTCTTGGGACACCATTAGGTTGGTGATGAACTTCTTACATTAACAAGCGATGTAGTTATGCAAACGGAAGCCACTTTAGCTTTAACTCAATAACGACATCCGAGAATTGAAGGACGAAAAAGAATCCAAGTCGTTTCGTGGTCTACATTGGCTAATCCTTCACTTCAGTGGGGCCACTTGTTAGCCGGTGAACTATCACAACGTCTCACAATATATTACATAGATTATCTTTACTAATAACAAACTCAATAGTTTATTACTGGCAAATCTTTTTAATCTTACGTTATTATTCCATAAGTTTAATTGATACTTGAGAATATGATAATTATGATATACTTTTGTCCTTCTAGATTGAGCATACAGTCCTCAATGGAATGGAACCTCTTTCAGAAGTCTACGTAAATGTAGAAAATCAGAGACTGTCACAAACTTGACAGTGGTTAAAAATTAATCTTGTTAAAATGATTCAAACTGTTCAAAATCTATGCCTTTGGACAACTACCTCAGAATAGGTAGCTCTTGTATAACTATGCCCAAAGAGCAGATAATAGTGACAATATAAAGCTCTTTATGCTTATCACTCATAAAACTTTTCTTTTTCGTTATCTTAAATAAAATGAAAACAATATGATCCATCACTTTTATCTCTACTACTGCAACCAGTTCATCGGATTTGACAATACAAACAATAAAACCGAAATTTAAGAATATATATAATTTTGTCTGCGATATTAGAAAACTCAATGAGTTCTGAACTATAGCACATAGGAAATATATATTCTAAAAATAAAGAAGACCAAATACAAAATCTTTTTGTCCATCTCAACAGAGATAGTACATGAGATTGCCTGTCATTTACTATGTATTTATTTACTATGTATGTGTGTATTT